GTGCAGCTCCAAATGTGTTGTCATCCTCCGGGCCAAGCCAGCCACTCCTGGGCGTGAGTAGCTGGGCGATGAGGCTGAAAGAAGCAGCAGCATGGGTGGTGCTGGCTGTGTGGTCTTGGACAAGGCTGCTTCCCTCTCTGGGCCAGGAGGATGCTGGTTTGGGGTCCGCAGTCCCGGAGCCTGTGGTCAGTCCTTTTGGCCGAGTGCACTGTTCTGGATGATGGGTGTTCCGTGCCTACCACTTACTTCTGACCAAATAGCATCAATCATTCAAGTTCCTTTTCCTTTATAACCTAGAGAAATTGGTCTCCTGGCAAGATATGAAAAATAATTTAACGCTCTCTTGCCTCCCCTCCCAAGATCACCCCTGACAAATCGTCTCTTTATTGCCTGTCGCTCCAGCCATCAGCTCACATCTGGGGTCCCATTTTTTATGGTTACTGGCCTCACTCTTGGCTCCAACTGGGGCTGGCTCTTAATAGGACTGCCATCATAATTCTAGTGAGGCTCCCTCATTCATTCATTCATTCAGCAAATGTTGTCTGCTTTGTCCCCAGGGATCCAAGAGTTTCCTGTGATAGAGGAGAAGCTCTCCACTTATTCAGACTAAAGTGTGAGGGGCTACTTTCTTAACTTTTTTAAAGGAGGGCATGCACCTAGCAACTTACTGTTTATAAATCCCATATAAGCCCATTATCTCTTTAATCCTCCCCAAACCTTCCACAACCCATAGTGGGCTCAATGCTCTTGCAGGCTGGGTGGTCTCAGGCAAGTTGCTTGACCTCTCTGAGCCTCAGAGCCTCAAGATTCTGATGGGTTTTAAGGGAATAATAATGATGTCAAGGAGTTACTGTGTGGTAGGAGTTACATCCCATGTGAAAGAGACGGGCACAACATGCACCATCGATATTATCATCATCATCATTATGAGGAAGGCACGCCCCAGGTAAGGGGACTGGGGTGGGATGGGGGGTGTCAAAGCAAAGGACATAGGAAGGTAGAATGATACTGACAGTACTGAGAATGACACCAACAACTTCCTCCAGCCTTTCCTGAGAGCTCACCAGATACCTTGCACATGTTCTGGGCACAGGCGTGTATAATACGTCATTTAACTTTTCGCAAGCAAAGAGGTGGGTGCTGTGTTTCCCAGTTAACAGATGAGGAAACTGAGGTTGCAAGCTGGTAAGCCCAGGGTTGTGATGGCCTGTTCCCCAGAGGGTGATGCCAACCGAGAGCTGTCAGGGTCAGACAGCCGCCCCTCTGTGGTGGGTACAGCTGTAGGGGTACACCCCCCACAAATCCAGTGCCTTCCAGGGGCTCAGAGTGAGGACACATGTGATTGGAAGATGGCAGCCAGGCCCAGCCCCCATCCCAGGCCTTTGCAAAACCTCCGAGTCCACAGAGACTGACTTCCAGGCTCTCTCTCTAAATTGTCCTCACCCCTGTGTCTTCCTAATGCCCATTCCCTGGGACTGACCATGAGACCACTTCCTGAACAGTACCCCTACTCCCACAGCAACTTACCTCTCCCACAGTCCATTTCCTAAAGCCCTGTTGAATGTCAGGACCTAAACACACACAACTAATTCATACTATGGTGTGAATGACCAACACAGCTAACTCCAGCATTTCCCACCTTATACTCCTCAGGTCACTCATCACGCAGATGCTCCACCGAAAAACAAGAGAATAATAGTTGTGTGGTCAAATAAGTTTGGGAAACTCTGAATACTCTTCTTCCTTCCAGAGAGTCACAATACACAAAAAACTATTGCAGGCTCTGAGAAGTCCTCCAGTATAGACACCAACAATACCCAAACCTATTGGACATCATTTTTTTTTCAAGGAACAATGTAACAACATCCCCAAAACAGTCTTTGATAAATCCTAACTGAGGAACCATGGAGATATGGGGGTAACATCTGTGTCCCCCAATTAGAATGTAAATCCCTCAATGGAAGGGGTTTTTGTTTGTTTTGTCCCCTGTTAGATCCTCAGTGCCTGTAATAGTGTTTGATACATAGTAGACATTTGATAAATGTTTGTTGAATAAATGAATGAGTGAATAGGGTGAGTTGGCACCAGGTCTGTGTTCTAATTCTGGCTTTGCGTCTAACTCACTACACGTCCTTGGGCAAGTCCCCATCCAACCCCAGGATGAGACTATATCATACATACTCAGTGGGGACAATAGCACCCCCGAAAGGTGAAAATTGATTCTTGGGGAGCAAAAAGAACTCGTACTCTTTTTTATGTATAAAGCACAGATACACATATCGGACACACAGATACACGTTATATCTGTGGTATTAAAATTTCATGGAGAGATGGCAATTAGGAAAAGAATGTTTAAAAAGGCTCCTTGGGAGAGAGGGGAGGCAATAATGAAAAAAGGTTGAGAGACACCAGACTTGATCTGGAAGGTTCCTCCCGGGTCTGACAGTCTAGGGACCTTTGACTCTAGGTGGGAGGATTGGCGGGAATATCTGGGGGAGCAGGGGACAGCAAGAACCGGAAGCCTCAGGTGGGAATACAGCTGGTGTTGTGGACTGAAATGTTTCCTCTCAAAACTCATCTGTTGAAGTCCCAGCCCCTGGTTCCTCAGGTATTTAGAGCAAGGGTCTCTAATGAGGTGATTAAGTTAGGCCGTTAGGGTGGGGCCCTCATCCAATAGGACTGGGGTTCTTGTAAGAAGAGAAAGAGACACCAGGTGGGCACACAGAGGCAGGGCCCTGTGAGGACACAGCGATAAGGCAGCCTCTGCCAGCCAAGGAGAGAGGCCTCGGGAGAAACCAAACCTGCTGAATGTTGATCTTGGACTTGTAGCCTCCAGGACTGTGAGAAAATAAGTCTCTGTTGTTTAAGCCGCCCAGGGTGTGGTGTTTCGTTATGGCAAACAGCAACCGAATACACGTGGCATGTTTAAGGAAGAGTCACCGTAGGGACTTGAGGTCAGAGAGGCCATGGGGGAGGCAGACGATGGCTGGCCTGTAGGACTAATAAAAATGTTGTTTTGGTTTGTTTTTCTTGGAGTCGGATGGGAAACCTGGGAGGGTTGGGGCAGTGACAAGACCAGCCTTACATTTTTAACAGGACCACTCTGGCTGCTGGGCGGAGAACCCACACAGCCTTGTGAGGGGCAAAGGTGGGAGCAGGGAGATGGTGAGGAGGAGGGCAGAGGGGGAGGCTCGGACCAGTGTAGTAGCATTGGGGATGGTGATACATGATTGCATTCTGGTCCATTTTGAAGGCACGGCCAGCAGGATTTGCCAGTGGATTGGATTGTGGGGCGTGAGAGAAAGAGAAGAGTTATGGGTTATTCCTAAGGCTTGGCCTGAACAGCTGGAAAAGTGCAGCTTCGGTTTGGGGTGGATTGTTTGAGATGTGCAGACATCCACGTGGAGGTGTCGAGCAGTCAGTCTATACTCAGGGATGGAGTTCAGAGGAGAGGTCTACATAGAGATAAGCACCGAGGAGGGTCTGCCTCGCCCACCCCTCTCCCAGCATCTGCCCCAGTCCCGTTCTTATCTGTTCCAGCCCTCCAGCCCCCGTGCTTCCCCCATCACAGCTCCTATCACAGGATACTGCGATCCCCTGTGGACTCGCCTGTCTTCCCCATCCAACCAGGAGAGAGAAAGGACTTTATGTGTCTTGTTTACCACTTCCCAGGGCCTGCCACACAGTAGGTGCCAGGTAAATGATTGTTGGAATGAATGGGATGATACAATGAGGGGTTAAAAATTACTAAAGTGCAAATGTTCCTAAACACTGCCCTCCCCTTCCTGAGCCAGATAATGTTATCTTTTCCAGCAAGCTGTTCAGATCCCCACCCCTTCCTGTCTCTATCAGACTTATTTACGGCAGAGGAAGATAGTCCCCTAAAAGAGCCAGACAGCTTATGAGAGAGGTTAAGACATCTATGTAATAAAGAACCAGGAGACAGTAATGAGGGAAGGAGAGAGAGAGAGAGAAAGGACACAATCTCTCCACTCGGGCTGCAAGTGGAATGGGAATTTATTTCTTTGTTTTAAAGACTTCCTTTGGAGGTTGGAGGATGTTCAATGAGAGACTCCAAGGTAGGGTGTGAGAGAGAGAACTGAGGAGAGAGAAAAGGAAGATGAGAAGTTTTGCTATGGGAGAAAACTGGCTCCCTCCATGCATGTTAAAAAACACAAGCTAAGAACAATTTAGCAGGAAGACAGCAATCATACATATATGTGCATCTAATAACAGAGCATCAAAATTCTTGAAGAAAAAAAATCAGAAAGCAAAAATGGACAAAACTAAAGGGAGAAACAGATAAATCTAAACCACAGTAGGAGATATGAAAAGCCCTCTCTCAGTAATTGATAAAAAATTGATTTAAACAAATCAGCAAGGATATACAAAAATCTAAACCACACCCAACCAACTCCACCTAATCGATGTTTACAGAACACTATACCCCAGAACTGCAGAAGTTAAATACTTTTCAAGTCAATCAAAAATAAACCATGTGCTGGGCCATGAAATAAGTCTCATTTCATTCCAGAATATTGAAATCTTGAGTATGATCTCTGCCCACAACAGACCTAAATAACAAATCAATAACAATACAATATCTAGAAAGTCCCAAATATTTAGATAACATGCCTTTCAATAACCCATGGGTCAAAAAAGAAATTGCAAGGGAAACTAGAAAATATCAAAGTAAATGATAATGAAAACACATCAAATTAAAATGTGTGGGAAGCAGCTAATGCAGTCCTTGTAGGGACATTCATAGCTCTCAATGACTATAGTGGGGGGAAAAAAAGAGGAGCCTAAAATTAATGATCCGAGAGTCTACCTTTAAAAGCTAGAAAAAGGAAGAATAAGTAAACCCAAAGTAAATAGAAGGAAAGAAATACTAAAGATAGCAAAACTCAGTGAAATAAAACACAGACAAATGACAGAGGAAATTAACAAAGCTAAACATTGGCTCTTTGAAAGGATGAATAAAATCGAAAAGCCCAAGCTAACACTAGACCTTTTTTATTACTTTTAGTTTTCGTGCCGACTGTGCATGGACTTGCTCACACAGGTGCTGGGGTCACATGGCTCACAGGGGGAAGCAGAGGAGAGAGCACGCGACAGTCCCCACAGCTCCTCTGTTCCAGACAAGCACACGTTTGCTCCTCAGCTGGCCCCCCGCTCACTGCTGGATCCTGCGGATGCTCTGCACCTGGAAGGTCTGGGCATGAGAGCCCCACTCCCGGAAGTGCTTGTAGTCGCCCGAGTGGTGATCACACTCCAGCACATACTGAAAACCACGGTAGCCAGGAAACTGGGAACAAACCCATCTGGGGAAGAGAAGGGTCAGACTGTTACCCTAGGAAGGCACCAGCATGATGGTGGAGACGGGGACAAAGGGACTCAAGCTGCAATCACATTCCAGCCACCCTGGGCCTTCCTTCAGTGCCCAGAATGTACCTTGCTCTTCCCAGCACTGTGCCTTTCATCATGCTGTTCCCTTTGCCAGAACACCATTCCAGCTACTCTTTGCCTGGCCAATTGCATTTATCCTTCAGATCTCAGCTCAATCATCACCTCATCAGGGCAGCCTGACCTATTCCCTAAATCAGGCCACAGTCCCTTATTGTACCTTTGTAGCTCTCATGTAATTAGACAATTATCAGAATATTTGTGAAATGTCAACCTCCTCCACCAGCAGGTGAGCTCCTGGCTGCAGGGGTGTGTGTGTCTGGTTCATTGTTATCCCCAGTGCCTGGCACAATGCCTGGCAGAGAGGGGGGCTCAATGTTTGATGAGTGAGTGAATGAAGGAAGGAAGGAAGGAGTGGGGGGTCTTATTCTTTCCCCCTCCTCCCTTACACAGAGGCACTTCCAAGACAAGCGCTATTCGTTCAATTCATTGACCCCTACATTGTTTGAGGCTGGACAAGAATTGGCATCTCCTTTTCTGACCTGCCTTTTCTCTTTCTGTGAAACAGGGCGGTGGACTCGAGAATCACCAGGGGTCCATCCTACCCTGAAAAAACAAGATTCTCTGGTGGTTCCTTCCTAAGTGAGGATCTCACACCTCAGCCGTCACCTGCCGCCTCTGGGTGATAGGGCAGGAAGGGTCAGCCAGTCCTGGGCTCGAAGCCGATTCAGTCACCTGCCTGCTGTTGGCCTTGGAGCAAGGTGGGTAACCCACATCCATTTCCCTATGGCTGGACATCTATTCTCTGCTCTTCTGAGACCCTGTCACCCCCCGACCCCCACCCCCAGTCAATGTGGGAAAATGCTCCTCTAGCAATGAGCATGTGACCAGGCCTAGCCAATCAGAGTGCCCCATTCCTGTGGGTGTGGTGATTGGTTCAGGGTTGAGCACATGACCCAAGTTGGACCAATGAGAGTCTTTCCTGGAACTTTTGGTGGAATCATTGAGAAAGGACACTTTTTCCCTGGGGCTGGCTGAAGTGCAAGGATGAAGCTGCCATCTTTGCCTAAAAATGTAGCCTCGCTGAGGCAGGCAGGGCAAGAGGGGGAGAAAGACAGATCCCTGCTGTAGCACCTGGATCCAGCTGTGCCTGAAGCTAGTTACAGGGGCCAATAAATATCCTTTGGGCTTAATATCAGTTTGATCTGCATGTCCACTTCTTGCAATCCCATAAATTCTGCCTGATACATCTCTGTGCCTCAGTGTCCTCCTCTGGAATGTAGGCATCAGAGCTCCAAAGTCCCCAGCACACAGTTTTCACAGGAGGTGTCCCTACCCCTCCCTTTCCCTGCCAGGCAGAGCCTTGGATCCACTTACGCCCCCGAGTGCACGTGGAAGGAGCCCACTTCATTGCCTTCCCAGCCCATTGCCTGGAGGGAGGGATAGTCGTCATTCAGCTCTCCCTTCCTGCCCAGGAAGTTCTCTTGCTCATAGATGGTCAGCCTCGAGTCACGGTGGTTCTGCAGGCACAGGGAACAGGTCAGACCATCAGGTGCCCTGTTCAGAACCAGGAGTCTCTGCTGGCCCACACATCCCCGCCCTTGGCTCCCAAATGAGAAGAGGAAGAGGAGGAGGAAAAGAAGAAGAAGAAGGAATCAACCTGAATATCCAGCAACAGGGGATCAGGTGGTAAACTGGTATATTGCACTAGGGTTAGGAGAAGGTCGTGGAGGAATGGCTTCAAATCCTGCCTCTCCACTCACCAGCTGACTGAGCTGAGACGTGTCACACAGCATTTCTGAGTCTGTTTCCATGTCTATAAAATGAAACTAACCACATCTACTTTTCAAGATTGTTTTGAGGACTAAATGAAATCAGAAATAGTAAACTGCGTGAAAGCAGAGATGGCATCTGTCAGAGTCCACTGTGGGTCCCCACAGTGCCTGGGCCATTGGTGGAACGAGTGAGCAAACGAACTTATTCACAAAATGGAATACCAGGGAGCTGTGGAAATGATGCTGTAAATGAGACAATCTCCTGGGAGGATGATTGTGATGTATTTGCCCAGTGAGAAAAGCTGGTTTCCAAGCCTTAGGTTCATTATGATTCAATTTTTATAACCATTTTATAATGGTTTTATAAAATGATTTTATAATGGTTTTATAAATGATATATGCATGTAGATCTACAGATATCGACACCAATCACTATAGATGTGATCTGTGGATAGCAAACAAGACGGGAAGAAATCTCCAGCAATGTTAACAGTGGGCTTCTGTCTCAGAGGTGTGAGTATAAGTGATTTTTATTTTCTTATTCTGCCATATCAGGGTTTTTTCCTGAATTTTAAATGATAAATATGTGTGCCTTAGATGATTTTAAATCAATAAAAGTTGTTCTTAGATGGCTGATAGGCACATGAAAAGATGTTCAATCTCAGTAATGATTAGGGAAATGCAAATCAAAACTATAATGAGATATCATCTCATGCCCATCAGAATGGCTATAACTAACAAGACAGGAAATAACAAGTGATGGTGAGGATGTGGAGAAAAGGGAGCTCTCATACACTGCTGGTGGGAGTGCAAACTGGTACAGCCACTATGGAAAACAGTAGGGAGATACCTCAAAAAGTTAAAAGTAATATATATATAATATAATCCAGCTATCCCACTTCTGAGTATTTATCCAAAGAACATGAAAACACTAATCTGAAAAGATAAATGCATCCCCTGTGTTCATTGCGGCATTATTCACAATAGCCAAGACTTGGAAGCAACCCAAGCGCCCATCAACGGATGAACAGATAAAGAAGATATGGTATATATACATATACAATGGAATACTAAGCCATAAAAAAGACAAAATTGTGCCATTTGTGACAACATGGATGGACCCTGAGGGTATTATGCTAAGAGAAATAAGTCAGACAGAGAAAGACAAATATCATATGACTTCACTCATATGTCGAAGGTAAACAAACAAACACATCAATACAGAGAACAGATTGGTGGTTACCAGAGGAGAAGGGGATGGAGGGAGAGAGAAAGGGGTAAAGGGATACGTGTACAGTGATGGATGGAAACTCGCCTATTGGTGGTGAACATGAGGCAGTCGAGACAGAAACTGAAATATAATAACATACACCTGAAATTTACACAATGTTATAAACCTATATGACCTGAATAAAATAATTTTAAAATAAATAGATAGCTAAATGTTGTTCTTGAAGGAAAAAAATACACCTTTCTGAGCCTCAGTTTTCTCACCTGTAAGATGGGGATAGTTATGCCCACCTCTACCCATACTCCATAAACAGTAGCTAAAATGTAAAACCAGGAACACTGATACTGAATCAGGAACAAGAAACGAGACCCTTCCTCCCCACCTCGCCCCACCGTCTCTGGCACCCAGCTTCTCCCAGCACCCCTGAGTCATGAAAAGAGGGACATGAAACCCGCAGGGCTCACGTCATAACCAAAGTGGCGGTAGGCGGAATGTCTGCGGTGGGATCTGTGCAGACGCTATACATCTTCTTCCCCACACCGTAGGCACTGTGGCCCCATTTCCAGATGAAGAAACTGAGGCTCAGGGCAGGGAGGGACGGCCGTGTCACCCAGCTTGAAGAGGTGGCATGAGTATTTGAACTCAGGGACATCCTGTGCCCAACGCCGCCCCCCCCCCAGGGTCTTGGGCCTCCCTGGGCCGAGGCAGCGGCAGGACTCACAGCACAGGGCACGGGCCGGAAGGAGGTGAGCCTCTCGGTGGGGTAGGCCGTGTTGCCACTCCAGGCATCCCAGGACGGGTACTCGCCCCGCTCCAGCACGTACTGCTGTCCCCGGAAGCCAGCGTGCTCAAAGCCCACCCACCTGCGGACAGAGGGCAGAGAGCGCAAGAGGTGAGAGACCCTTCGCCCTGAGTTCTAGACCGATGGTTATCAGTCAGGGGTGACTTTGTCCCCCAGGAGGCATTTAACACTGTCTGGAGGCATTTTTAGTTGTCATACTGGGAGGAGGGAGGAGAGTATGTTTGCAACTGGCATTTAGTGGGTAGAGGTCAGAGATGCTGCTAAACCTCCTCCGATGCACAGGACAGCCCCCCACAACAGAATTATCCGGCCCCAAACGTGCGCAGTGCCGAGGTGGAGCCATCCCCTCTGGACCTAGCCGCCCGCCGCCTTGCTGTGCGTCCCACAGGTGGGGGACCTGCCCCATGCAGGTGCCTCACAACCTCGCATGGGCCCCTCTAGGCCACGGAGACAAGGTCTGACCACCGGCTGACCCCAGCCCTGGGGGGATTCCTCGTGATCCTCCGGAACATGGGGAGACAGGCAGTCCTGTGAGGAGCTGCCACACGGCCATTTCTCACCCACCTCCCTCTCGCGAGGGAAGCTTTCACGAGACAGTCGCCCGTCTGCCTCTCTGGTTCCGCGAGCTGTGGGACTTTCCACCTCGCCACCCTGGCGGGCACAGCAGCAGCTCTAACTGAAGCCTGGAGGGCTCCTCAGCAACAGGGTGCCCACCTCTCCTGCCACCATCGGGCCCCTTTTGGTGCCGTCCTGCAGGACAAGGGGCACGGAGGCTAACCCCATGCTGACCTAGCATCCGCTGTCTGTAGAAATAAAAACCATCTTATCTAAGTAATAAACCTGAACTTGCTGTCTCCTTCCCGGCAAAAGCTATCAGTCTGCTGGACATATCCCTGGACGGGTCACTGCCCCCCCCCCGAACCCCATTCCTACTGTAAGAAGAGCATTAACCCTGGTGTGAGATGCGGAAATACCCCCAAGGCAACCTTCAGTGGCACTCACAGGTGTAGCATGAAGTGACCCCGAATCACAGAGAGAACATTGCTCTCCTTTCAGTCTACTTTGCAACCTTCTAGAAGCTTCTATGCAATATGGTAGCCACTGGCCACAGGTAGCTAATTAAATTTAATTCTACATAAATTTAAATTAAATTAAATTAAAAATTCAGTTCTTTAGTGGCACCAGCTACATTCCGAGTGCTCGACGGTCATAGGTAGCCAGTGGTTCCAAAACGGACAGGGCAGACGTAGAACATTGCCATCACTGCAGAAAGTTCTACTGAAAGGTGCTGATCTAGAAGTCCCCGCATGGTATTAGTGTGCCCTTAACACCGCTCGACATCTGATTAATCTCTCTCTCTCTTCTTTTTTTAACAAAGCATATCTCATGCTCAGAGCCTCAGTCAGGCAACAATGTTCAGCTAAAGATTAATGGCATTGTTTTTTACCATATTTATTTTTATAGTTACCTTCTACTTTTGGTGAGTGATGTTGGCTTTCGATTTATGCCTAAGAGGGACATTTCAGACCCAACACTTGATTCTAAAGATCTGCCCCAGGGCCGGCTCTGTGGCTTGGCGGTTAAGTGCTCGCGCTCTGATGCTGGCGACCCGGGTTCGGATCCCGGGAGCGCCCCGAGGCACCACTTCTCCCTCCAACACGAGGCCGGGTCCCACGTACAGCAACTAGAAGGATGTGAACCTATGACATACAACTGTCTACTGGGGCTTTGGGGGGAAAAAACTGAATAAATAAAATCTTTAAAAAAAAAAAAATAAAAAATAAAGATCTGCCCCGGCAGGGCTGCCTCATCCAGTGGGCAGGATCTGTGTGAATGGCGCCCACTACATTTGGGCAGTGCACAACCTGCATGAGCATACACTGCCGTCCTGCACACTCTCCAGCATTTTGGATGGAACGAAGGCACAGCGGAAAGTTAGAGCCTGGAAAGGTAGGGCCTGGAACGTCTAAAAGTCCCAGCACCCCTCTCCAGATCCCTGTCTGTCTCTCCCACCTCGACTCACAATCCCCGGACTCACGCTCCACTCAGCACTTTCAAGGATCGCACAGTCTCAAAGCCAAGCTCCAGCACGCTGGGGCACTCAGCTGTGAACTCGTGGCGCCGGCCCTGGAAGCCCTCCTCGTCCCACACCACGATCTAGCGGGAGAGAAAAAGGTGGGGCCTGCATCAGAGCCCTGTGGGGCGTGAGGGGTGAAGAGCTCACCCCAGGACTCAGGCTGGGACTGGGCAGGTAAAGTAGAGATTGCAAACTCAGCTGCCTCCCGCCCAGGCAGGTAAGGAGGGAGAGGGCCAGGGCAACCGAGAACACAGGCCCGGGGCACAGGGGCAGCCTCTGCTCAGCGCCACCTACTGTTGCCACGTGGTAATGCAGGCCAGACTTTCCAATTTCTCAAGACAATCACTAAACCTGGACTTTGCTGTAGACCCTCCAGGTTTTTAAATGTTAATGACAAATTCAGAAAAAAATGTTCTAAACACAGAGGGGGGCAAATAAATCATGCCCAAAGACTGTGCCGTCGTTTGCCATCTCTGCCAAAGAGCATGACAGTTAAATTTGGGGACCAGAAGAACCCCAGGAGGCAAACCGAGACCCCTGTGTGTGACCTTAGACAAGTCCCTTCTCCTCTCTAAGCTTCAATTGCATCCTCTGTGAAATGGGCCCTCATAACCCCCTGCCAGGGGGGAGGTGGGGATTCACTGGAGGTGGGGATGCAGGGGTCCCATGGACCTGGGTTTGACCTGTACCCCCCCACTCCCCAGAACCACCCCCCCATGCCTCGCCCTACCTTCCAGTGTCCCGCTGTCTTGGTGCATTGCAGAGCCATGCTGCCCGCTTCCTACACAAGAGAAGAAGATGACAGCTTTCCGCCCTGACTCTGCTCTTCTCCTTGAGGCTGAGGTCTGGTTTGGGTGAGGCAGGGGTCCAGACAGGGTCCAGACGTGCCTGGGCTAGGGGCGGAGTGTGGCTCTGGCCCGTCCCTCTCCTCCCCTTTCCATCTGTGACTCATGCCATCTCCTTTTCTTCCGTCCTATCGCCATCTCAAAGCTTAGCCATTCTGGATCCCACTGCCTCTGAGCTCCTCTCTGTGTGGTTTCATCTGCTCACTGTGGGAAATTTCTGTGGCTGCTGTGGGTGGCAAGTGGCAAGGTGCTCAGCTTAAGACCCCCTCCCAAAGACAGGACATGACTCAAAGAGGTGACTCTCACGGTGGAGATGGAGGCAACGGGACTCTGCATAATTTTGGTTTTAAATGAGGGTAGCAGGTCCTGCTCTTGATATATGGGGCCTGGCCTTGGTTAGGATGAGGATGACATTCAGGATGACACAGTGATGTCCCCAGGATTGGGGACCTAGGCTCCCCCACCTCCCAGCGTGCTCACTCAGAGCTCGGGTCCCACCCTGTCTCCAAGCCTGGACTTACCGAGACGGACCCAGAGAACATGCCAGACCTGGGACCAGCCGAGGTCAGGCTCTTATAGGCAGAGAGGGGAGAGGGCCCCTGGGAGGCAAAGCTCCGACTCAGCAAGTGAGCGGCAGAAACAAAAGCCAAGCCTGGCTGAAGCCCCAGGGGAGAGGTGTCAGCAGCATTGGCTTCAGTTGGGAGGGAAAGGGTCAGGTCGCCTCCCTCAGGGGTCAGCCACAGAGAAGGCAAAAGGAGGAAGGTCTGCCTTAGTCAGCTCCATGCGACTCCTGACTAGAGCAGGAGAATGAGCACTGGACAAGGAGCCCAAAAATCTCATCCTTCCTTCCTAGCTGCGTGCCTGGGGCAGGTCATTTCCCCTCTGTTTCTTCTATAAAACGGGGCAAGAATAAACTACATCGCAGGGTGGTTGTGAGGTTCCGTAACATGCCTGGCACAGAGTAAATATACAACGAACACCTCTATCTTTCCGCCTCCTGTGCCCCCTTCCTCTTCCTGCAGAGGCAATCAGGGTAGGCTTCATGTTGGAGGTGGCATTCAAACTAGACTCTGAAGAGTGAGGAGGATTTGTACAAAGTGAGATAGAAGGAAACGCTTTTTCTAAGCAGAAGTGTGGAGGTGGGAACTTGGGACGCATATAAAGAGAAAGCTGGGAGCCCCGCTGGGGGTGGAGCTCAGGGACTCTGAAGGAGAGCAGAGGGAGCAAGGCAGGAGCGGTGGGCTGGGCGGGGGCCTCCAGGACCCACAAAGCCCACAGATGAATCCAGAGGGCTCTGTGGGCAGAATGAAAGAGCTTTGCCCCCAGGTAGGGCACCTGCCAAACCTGCATATGTGTAGAATTCACTCTGCGCACCCTCTCCCCAAATGCCCAACTTCTGAGTTGATCTAAGAGGCGCTGCTCACAGCACGGGAAAGGGCATGGCCAGAAATCAGACCACTCTGGAAATCCAGCCCAGCCTCCGAACATCTGGGTGACCTGGAAGATGTCTGCTTTCTTATGTCTGGTCTATAAAATGGCCACATGAGCTCCCTCCTGGGAGGGTTAAATGCCGCCCTATCAAATACGTAACTTTGATGAATGGTTACCATGAAGATCAAAGGCTAAGAATGCAGCCTCTGCAGCCAGACAGCCTGGGTTTGCATCCCACTCTTGCTGGCTGGCTAACATTGAGTGTGTTACTTAATCTCTCTGAGCCTCAGTTTCCTCATGTGTAAAATGAGTCTAACAAGGTAAACCGAGTTTAGCCTAAGAGATAGGGGTATTGGAGGGTAAATGTGAATTACACATGAATAGTCCTTGCTGTTCTGGAATTGATCCCGGGACATAAAAAGCATTATGTGCCTCCATCATCATTGTCATCATCATTGCTAATAATAAAAATGATTCCTATTAAGATCTCTGCACTCCCACGTTCAGTGAAGCATTAATCACAACAGCCAAGATACGGAAACAGCCTAAGAGTCCATCAGCGGATGAATGGGTAAAGAAAGTGTGGTATATACATACCATGGAATAGTATTCAGCCACGAGAATGAAGGAAATCTTGCCATTTGTGACAACGTGGAGGGACCTCGAATGCATTATGCTAAGTGAAATAAGTCAGACAGAGAAAGACAAATACTGTATGATCTCACTTATATGTGGAATCTAAACAAGACAAACTCAGAGAAACAGAGAGTAGAGTGGGGGTTGCCAGGAGTTGGGGGGAGGAGGAAATGGGGAGATGTTAATCAAAGGGTACAAACTTCCAGTTAGAAGATTAACGAGTCTGGGGATCTAACGTCCAGCATGGTGATTATAGCTAATACTGGATCATGTACTTGAATGTTGCTAAGAGAGTAGATCTTAAGTGTTCTCACCACAAAAAAGAAATGTAACTATGTGATGAGATGGAGGCGGTAGTTAAGGCTGTGGTGGTAATCATGTTGCAATTTATAAATGTATCAAATCAACACATTGTACACTTGAAACTTACACATTCTGTGTCAATTATATCTCAATAAAGCTGGAAAAAATGATTACTATTAAATAATTATTCATATAAAAGCAGCTCTCAAGTTTTTAAGAGCTTGAGTTCAGAAGTTAAGATGTGACTTCCCAATTCCGTTTCATGGATGAGAAAACAGGCTGAGAGAGGTAAAACGGAGCTGCCTCAGTTTCCTTATCTGCAAATAGGATTAATCCCAGAGACCCCCTCCCATCATCGCAAGGATTACAGAAGCCAAGTCAGTGCAGGGCTCAGAGTGGAGCCGCCCAGCCTGGGGGCCATCCCCCACCTCTGCCCCCATCTCTTGGCAGGCGGCCCACTGCCACGGGGGACATGGAACTGTCCCAGACAGCCTGGCCTTGAAGCCCAGACATGTGGGTGGCCCCCCACCACAGGCATCTTGGCGCTGGTTCCAGTGGCTGCCCCACCCTGCGGTTCTTGCCCCCTCCCAGGCCTTGGCCCAAGATGAAAGGCTGAGGGGGTGGCTGGGAAGCGAGGGGGTGCCGGGTGGCGGTGGAGGGGCAGAAGGCAGAGCTGGCCCCAGGCCACTGTGACCTCAAGTGGAGCTGGGCTCCATGGGGAGTCTGGGTCCCTGGACTCCCGCAGAAGAGGCAGGAACCTGTGCAGACCCCTCCGCCAGCCCAGACTGCAGGCTGATCTGGCTCAGCGGGTCCCCTGGGCCCCTCCAGCCCTGGCTCTTCTGTGAGTTCACACTGTGTGACCTTGTTGAAATCACGTGTTCCACCTGGGCCTCAGTTACTCCATTTGTGAAATGAGGGAATTGGACCATATGAGTCTGGCATCCGTTCCGTTGTTCTGAGTCCTTATTGCTCTGTTTTGACTTCTGTCTCCCTCTCTCCTTCACCATCCGTCTCCCTCTCTGCCCCTCTGAATTTCTGTCTCCGTCATCTCTCTCTCTGTCCCTCTCCACTTCTTCCCATCAGTCTCCCTATTTTATTTCTTTCTCCCCGTCTCAGTTTCCCTATCTCCCCCGCACCCCACCTTCCGTTATGACCCTTTGGCACCACCATTTAAGCCCCCCAAATTGATTGAGGGCCCACTATGTGCCAGCTCTGTGCTGGGTGCTGGGGCCCAGCGGAGAGCAGGAGGTGGTGGAGATTGGGGCTTCCCCAAGGAAGCTGGAGACAGGCAGGCATATTCCCGGCCACCAGCTCTGTCCCTGGGGTCAGACAATGGGGGGAGGGTCTCCAGGCAGGTCAGGAGACAGTGGGGGAGGAATCTGGGCCCAGTGTGGGCAGAGGAATGGAACCCAGGCCCTGAATGTCCACCTCACCCGAGCACAGGGGGTCCCCCCATCCCCACCCCTATATCTCGAAGCAGGAAGTCAGGCCAGGGCCAGAGGCAGACAGTGCGAGAATGAAGCCCACAGGCCCCCGAGCCAGCCTGCCCGTCCGGTTCCTGCTCTGACCTCTCTGTGCCCTAGCTCTGCTCATCTGTGAAATGGGTATAAGGCAAGTACCAAACAAGGTGGGTTGTCCTGGGGGTTGACTGAGACTGCGTGGATGTTGTGCTTAGTACTCAGTAAGCACTCAGTAAGTGGCCCTGTTGATATCGTGCCCACATCTGCCTTTACCAAGCATTTTTCCATCTCCTATGCTCACTGTCACCTTCTTTCCTGTGTAGCATCCAACAGGGACACTTGTGCCCACTTGTAACTGCAGTCACAGAGGTCTCAAGGGATTGAGACGTGCCAAAAGCCACACAGTGCATAGAGGCTGAGCCAGGATTCAAACCCAGGTCTCCTGCCTTCTGGGGGGCTCCCCTTTTCCCTGCCCCAGGATTGGCAGCCAGGGGGGACCCTGCTGGGGTTTTAGAGACAGGCGTCAGGGTCGGGCAGGGCAGAGGGCGAGGTGAAGTCGCTGCTGGCCGGGGTTTCTGCTGTGCATGCTGGGCTCACAATGGAAAGTGCTGCTGTCCGCAGTAAGCCAGGCAAGGTTGGGGCCTCCGGGGCCCGCTCCCCACCCGGGGCCTGCTGAGCCAGCTCCTGCTTTGTGCCACGGACCATAGAGCCTGGTGTCTGCCAGACTATAAAATGGGGGGTCGGCCCTAGTCCCCCACTGCGCCCCGTCCGCCCGCCTGCCTGTCCTCCAGCAGGAAGTAGCAGGTAAGAGAGAACCTGCCAGGCTGCTGACAGCTGGAGGTGAGGGGAGAGGAGAGGGGAGGCAGAGAGAGCAGCTACAGAAGAGAGACAGGGTGATGGAGGGAAAGGCAGAGAGAGAGAAGAAAAGATAAAAATTAACAGAGACAGACAGAGAGAGGAAGAGAGGGAGGGAGGAGAAGAGAGAGAAGAAGAAAAGACAGTAATAAAGAAAAGATAGAAGAGATAGGCAGAGATACAAAGAGAGCGAGATACGGTGGGGGGAGAGAGAGAGAGAGGATAGGCACAGAGAGAGAGAAGTAAAGAGAGAGAGAGAGAGAAGATGGAAATAAACAGAGAGAGACAGGCAGAGAGAGGGAGGAGCAGAGAGAGAGAGAGGGAGGGAGAGAGAGAGACTGGAGAACATCTCCAGGAAGGAATGAGTCCACGCCAGCCAGGAAGACTGTTGATTCACAGACTGACATGCAGGGGAGTGGGACCCTGGAGGCCACAGATTGTGGCCCAGATGTTTGGCCTGCCCAGGATGGGCAAAGCACCCGAGTAATAATAGTCTTCCTCGGGGAAGGCAGGGAGACGGATCTGCTTGCCCGAGCGAGTTCCATCTGACAGACAGCGTTCAGTAATCCGCTGGGCCAGAGGGTCTCAATCTGTGTGGCCAGGGGGTTCGACAATCCCTGGAGATTGTCTCCAAAATTCAAGGGGGCATGTTTTTCCCCTGGGGACAAGGACAAGGCGTTCTTCAAACACTTAACGGCATCCGTGACCCCAAAGCTACAAGGAACCACAGGAATGGACCAAAGCTGTCTCCACCAGCGCCCACGCGGCCACAGCCTCATTTCAAAACCCCCGACAGGCATAAACCCACCCTCTTGGGTCCGCCTGTAGGCCGAGGCCCAGGCCTGCATCTGCACCGGCACCCCGGTTCCCAGAGGATGGCAGAGGCAGCAGTTTGACTGGGAGAGGAGAGGGGAGCATGCATTCATTCATTCCCTGAACAGACAACACTTGAGAGTCTCCTATGTGCTAGGTGCTAAGCCAAGGGCTGGGGATGGAGGGTGAATAATCAGAATAAATAAACGGCAGAGCGTTGAATAACTCAGTGGCGGGGTCCATCCGCTTGAGTTGAGATTTTAGTAGCTGTGTGGTCTTGGGCTGGTCACCTCCCCTCTCTGAGCCTGGGATTGCTCAGAGGGGATAAGTTAGCATTCACTGCACGGGGGTGGGGCGAGGGACAGATGGGTTCATGAATGCGGTAACAGAGCCTGGCAGACCTTAAGTACTCCCAAACATGACTTCTTCTTCTTAACCTGGAGAGGCAAATTGAAGTGGCACAAGCAAATAAGAGTAAGCGATGAGGAAAAGTCCAGGGGGCTAAGGAAGGACACGGCAGAGAAGAGGGGGAGAAGGGAGGGCGTGGTCACAGGCTTGGAGGAAGGCAGGTCAGGGATGCGCCGTCCCTGGACAGGAAATATTGACTGTGGGACCAGGTCAGGACAGACAACATCAAGGCTTATGTTCCAGGAGAGAGTGGAAATGAGTGCAAAGGAGCCTGAAAACACAGGGTGAGGGGGTGTGGGAGTGGGAGGGCAGCTGGGGGGTGCCATCTCCGAATTAACCTTGGCTAAAGGTTTCTCCACAGACCTTTGCGGGTTTGAGCCATGTCTCAGGCTGCGAAGCCTTCGGGGACAGCTGTGGTGAACCCAGGGCCTGACGGGAAGGGGAAGGGGACCCCACCCGAAGCACCTGCCGCCGGCACCGGCCCCGCCCTGGCCCCAGCGTCCCTGCCCATTCCCACTGCCAAGGTGGGGGAGCTGCCTCCCGAGAGCTACAGGGTAAGCAGGGGCGGGGGAGGGGGTTGGGCTCCACCCCTGCGCTTCCTCCGCCCTGTCCCTTCCTCTTCTTCC